TCTCTCTCTCTCTCTCTCTCTCTCCTCTCTCTGTCTCTCTGTCTCTCTGTCTCTGTCTCTGTCTCTCTCTCTCTCTCTCTCTCTCTCTCTCTCTCTCTCTCTCTCTCTCTCTCTCTCTCTCTCTCCTTTCTCTCTTTTCATTTCCCTCTCCCTTTCCTTCTCCTTTTCCTCTTTCTCCTCCTTTCTCTCTCTTTCCTTTCTCTCCTCCTCACGTTCCCTCTTCTTCCTCTCGCTCTCCCTTCCTCTCCCCTCTTCTTATTCTCTCTTTCTCTTTCCCTCCTCATTCACTTTTATTTTCTATTCAATCGAATATGCATCAGTCCACTCAGCCTATCCACTGGCATTAGCTCCGAGTACAGGTTTCACTTTCACCTTACGCCTAGTGAATCCCTAAGCAGAGAGTTGCTTGTTTGTTTACCTTGTTTTTTTATCGTTAAGGAAGACTTTCTTTCGAACTATTAATGTTTATGCGTTTATGAGAAATTTTGTGAGATATTTCAGTTGATTTACTTCGTGTGTGTCGATTTATTTCGATCGGTGCCTGAGAGGGAAAGTTTAGCATGGGGATCGTAGCATTTCATTCGTTCCGTCTCGTTCTTATCAACAGCGTGAGAAAAGGGTCGCTTATTCACCGATTTGGGAGGGGGGGAGTCGGCGGCGTGACCCTACCAGCCGCTCTCTGTCACGATGCGGCCCGTGAGAGTTCGCGAGCTCTCTCTCTCGCTCTCTTGCTCTCTCTCTCTCTTTCACTTTTACGATTTTTTTTCTCCCTCTCTGTTTCTGTTTTTTGTGTCTGTGGTTCTGTTTGTACGTTTGTCTGTCTGTCTGTGTCTGTCTGTCTCTCTCTCTCTCTCTCTCTCTCTCTCTCTCACTTTATTTCCCTCACTTTCTCCCCTTTTCTATCTTTCTCACTCTTCTCCCTCTCCCCCCCCCTCTGCCTCTTCCAAATAGAGAGAGAGAGAAAGAGAGAGAGAGAGAGAGAGAGAGAGAGAGAGAGAGAGAGAGAGAGAGAGAGAGAGAGAGAGAGAGAGAGAGAGAGAGAGAGAGAGAGAGAGAGAGAGAGAGAGCGATAAACAGATAGATGTAGATCGAATTAGAGAAACTTTCCACTGATTGGATCTAATTCTTCTCCGAGCGACCAGTTACTTCAGCCTTAATGAGTTATGTACGATCATAATAATTCGACATCACTCAATCATGTTTCTAATTGATTACACACACACGAAGAGGAATGGCATTTTAATCGGCTGTTTTCTCTGTCTGTCTGTTTCTCTCTCTCTCTTTCTCTCTCTCTCTATCTATCTATCTATCTTTTTATCTTATATATCTTTCTCTCCACCTGTCCACCTGTTTACGTACATATCTATCTGTCTGTCTAATTATACACACACACACACACACACACACACACACACACACACACACACACACACACACACACACACACACACACACACACACACACACACACACTTACTTTCTCTCTTTCGGTCTCTCTCTCTCTCTCTCTCTCTCTCTCTCTCTCTCTCTCTCTCTCTCTCTCTCTCTCTCTCTCTCTCTCTCTCTCTCTCTCGCCCACTTACCTCTTTTTCCATTTACTAATTACTAGAGAAATGGTTTGGAATGCATAATGGCTGCGTGATTTGGTTGTTAATTGTGTTCTTTTGTCATGCTCAGAGGTGATGAGAGAGAGAGAGAGAGAGAGAGAGAGAGAGAGAGAGAGAGAGAGAGAGAGAGAGAGAGAGAGAGAGAGGGAGGGAGAGGGAGAGAGAGAGAGAGAGAGAGAGAGAGAGAGAGAGAGAGAGAGAGAGAGAGAGAGAGAGGGAGAGGGAGGAGAAGAGAGAGAGAGAGAGAGAGAGAGAGAGAGAGAGAGAGAGAGAGAGAGAGAGAGAAATAGCCGTTACATTAGCCTTCGAAAATGCCAATTCAGGTGTACTTATTGTCTTCTATTCATTCAACAACGACAAAAAAACAACAACAACAACAAAATAGTCATGTAAATAAACAAATAAACAAACAAAAAAGTGAGAACGAAAACGGAGAATTTTTAAGGCCTAATTATGGGTTGGTGTTCTGCATGTGTGACTGAGGGGCATGGATTACCTTTTGCCCTCATTAAGGAGAGCTGGTGGGTACTAACTCTCTAACTGACATAATTCGAGTAGGCCTATCAGCTGCTTCTATCCTCCCCCCCCCACCCCCTCGCCCCCGCTTTCTTCCCGCTCCTCCTCATTCCTTCTCTTTCCCTTTTTCTCTTTATTTTTTTTCCGTTCCTTTATCTTTTAGATTCTCTACTCTCTCTATATGTTTCTCCTTCGTAATCCCTTTCTGTTTCCTTTCCCCCTTCTTTCGTTTTCCCTTCCTCTCTCGGTCTCTTTTTCTCTCTCTTCGTCTCAACTCTACCCCTCCTCCCCTCCTCCTCTCCCTCTCTGTCTCCGTCTCCCCTCCTCACTCTCTCTTCCTCTCCCTCTCTTCTCCTCTCTTTCTCTACGATTCCCCT